CGGTGTCAATCATTCAAAATTTAGATAAAAAAAAGATTATGTATTTAAATAAATATTTTGCAGCACCAAATGGTCCATGTTTGCCATACGTATTGTAGAGAGGGTTCTCATTTTGACAAAAGGGATTTCCGACAAATTCAAAGATAGTATTTCTGATTACTGCACAAGGTTTCATTTTCATACCATCAGCCATCAATCATGTCATCGTAGTCACCAAATGAACTGCTTGGATCTCAAAACACGGTGACATCGTTAAAAATGGGTCCAACAGGGCAACAAATGCGAGCAGTCCGATGATCGTACAGGTCGTAAACAAGCTGCCAGGTTTACCCCATTAGCTTCCATTCAACTTTGATGGAAAACCAAAATTGAGACTTGGGTGACTATTCTGGCCTGCCCCACATTGCACAAGCCCTCAGCTCATCAGTTGTCCAACTTGGACACTCGATACCGCTGCTACAAAGCCTGTGTCTCCACCATCTGGAGTGTTAGCAGCATATTGAAGCTAACAGCAGGAATGTTGTTCAAAATGTTGCTCCGATGCTCCTTCTTCAGGGATTCTGCAGCATACACAATGCTTTGACCTCGCTTAACACTGCTCCAGCTGTTGTGACCCCTTTCACTGCTGCCCATACTGTGTCTTATATCTGCTGGCCGTGTTATGTTGTCAGTGCCACTCACACATATGGACTGATCAGCGTAGATTTTCGCAAGTGCTAGTGTGCCAATCCTGGAAGAAGGTCTGCCAGGCGGCATACAGCATGGATGCTTTCTCTCAGTGGGACAAAACGGAAATGACAAGGCAATTGCCATTCTGTCAGCATTGCCATGGTAGCACAGGCACGGCTGTTTATCCCAAGGTTAATGGGATGACGCCTGGAACTGAAAGTGCCAGATTGAGAGAAACATGTGCCCGTTTTACTTAAAATGAGAGTGGCGTCACGTCACACAGAAGTGTGCTCGGAACGGGTCGGATTAACAAACGGTATGGACTGTAAAAACATCACGTATCTTACTTCCAGCATAGATAATAAATAACTGAATGGAGGTATGATTGAATCAGTCAAAATATTGATGGAGATGGTTTGTCATTGAACCTGTGCTGCAACGGATCGAAACACCTTAAAGGGTGCAGAACGTTTTGAAACTGGTAAAGGCAGTCTGAGAACTATGACTTTTGTTAACATGGGGTAAATACCAGGCTTATGGGCGTTTAGCCATCTTGGCTATATATCTCCGTATGTTGTGTACTGTGTAACCGGCTGGATGCTTGTTGTGGTGCTGCTACATTTGCTGAATTTCTTTGAGGTAATGCGAAGCCTATAATATAGTTACATATGGTAAACAGGTATTGTCTGTACATACTGCAAATGCACCAGACGATGCAAATTAGCCACTTTTCTCTAATCTCTTGCAATTCGAAGTTGTCCCTGCTTGTTGTAAACAGTTGACCAGATTAATCGGTCTGCTGTTTATTTAGGCACCGATGTCCATCAGAGTCCTAGCATTGCTCTCCGATCGTTGCACCCTGGGGTGCAAATACACATCTGATTGTTATCATGAAGCAAGTTACATTTATTTCAAAGACAAATTAACACAGACCACACGTAACAGCAAAACTCTATAATACAATCCAACATGGGAGCACAAATCCTCAGAAATAACCACAACCTCAGGTTCACAGATTTGGTGCAGGGCTGTTGTATTGTGGTGATCAGATTCATCAGTTTCCTCTGCGTTGATGGTTACAGATAAATTTGGCTAAATGTTCTCATATTCCTGGAAGGTGAGCTGTAACATCCGTGTAACTCGCTCATCTTTGTCCATCAGAAGTATATAAAACGATCAGCATACCGCATGAATTACCTGATTGCCACTATAAATATTTTCATTAGAGTAAGTGTGTCGTACAGCCCGGTGTGTATGAGCGGTTCTCTCACAGCCATATGCTGAATGTAGTTGCAAATGTGGCGGGTAATGTTTTAGATAAATCAATCTACAATATTTTTAAAGATGTGCTTTTTTTTTTTTTTTTTTTTTATTTGTTCACCTCGGCCATATAGAGTGGAAGGGCTGCAGTGGGAAAGGCTTACCCACCAGGATTATAGCCATTCTGATGGATGGCAATGAGACAGATTAATCGACTGCCGTGCAACCCTCACTTATCTGATTTTACCGCTGCTCCTCCCTTTTCCTTCTTTAAAGGCAGAATTATCTCTCTGGCAGTAAATGGGGTGTAATGTGTTTTTTAATGGAAAATTAGCAAAAGATTACACTTTTCTTGAGTTACACTCTGAATAAAAGTGGCCTGTGAAACATTTTAGTGGGTTCGGTGCACTTTACTTATTACACCCTGTGGTCCTGATGTGATAACATATTGACATGTTAAAGATATTTATTTGTTTGTATGCCAGCAATAAATCCAGGGCTGTTTCTTTTATAACTTCCTTTAATGTTTTGAGTCAACACCAAACCTGTCTCAACACCATTGACCAAAATTCCATCTGACTAATGGAATTTTTTGTTATTGTGAGGTATAAACATTTTATGCGCTTTATATCTCGGTAGCATCATTAAATGTTCTTTGTAACTTGTCACAATTCACTTAAAAGGAGAATAAAGGAATGAAAGAAATGGGTGTTGAAATGGGCACCTGGAGAGCCTGAATAGTTCTCAGTGTTTTTTATTGTTGGTAGCCCACATAGCACACTTTGTCGGTTAAGGGAATGGTAAATATTCAAAGCAACTGAAGGCACGGTGCTTCACACAGGCCTGCCAAAGAGAATATGTATTTCCTGCGAACTCAAATGGGATGAAAGCAAGTAAGTCATAACCAATTGCATAACTGCCTCAAGTGTGTACCACATAAATATACAACCAACCCTACACCGTCTTAGCTCCATTTCTTGTCCTAGAAAAATTCAGAAATGTACGCTGAAAACTAGTCCAGCTGTGTGGGTTTACAAGTGAACTAATACAGCTTGTCTCACAAACGCCATCGCTGATCAATACATATTACAGTCCGACAGATGGTCGAATTCTGATACCAATACGGACGTTTCGGAGTTTAGAAAATCCAATACACAGGCCAAAAGTAATATTTAAAAAATACAAACTCATAACTTAAACAACAGTCTTCCTTTGTGTAGTTGAAAGATGTACCTGTCAGTGTGGACGATCTATGTAATGATGACAATATTTCTATATTAATCAAACCTACTTGAATTCTTTCTGTCCTGCAGTTTCTTGTTAATCAGAGTCAGCGGCAAGCATGTATACACCGACACCAATATATCTGCAATAAGCTGACATCCGCCAATATACAGTATTGGCCTTGATTTACTGGTGCAGCTCTATGGCTCCAGCCATAGACTGGGCATTTGTTAGATCTCCAACTTTTTTCTTCAGCGCTCCCATATTGATTGTGTTGTCGATTCTCAATGAGACTGGCCTTGCTAGCGAGGCTTTTAAATTATAGGGAGTAATTTGCTTTAGTGATGATATAAAAAAAATATTGCCTCACAAAGCTTTAACCTTTTTAATCAGTGTATTATTTAGTGGAGCTAATTGAGTTTAATTGAGCCTCTGACAGCTTCTATGTTGATGGCAAGGTTATGGCGCACAACTCAAATGGAATAGAAGATACTAGATTCATATCTAGTATCTTCTTTGTATTTATGATTGGCGAGCAGCTTTCTCTTGCCTTATAATAATAGAATTGCATTCCTAATGGGCTCTGTTTAAGGATATCAAATATGAGGAGTTGCTCTGGAACAGACATATTGGTGAGGCTAAAGCCATGACTGACAAATGTAATCCCGCTGGCTTATGCATTTATTAGTTAGAAATGCAGCTCAAACCTATTCCAACATTCAATAGCAACCCAGACCCCACTAGCCAATAATGTTGTGGTGTTTAGATGACAATTGGATCTTAATTTACCCGTCACTGGACACATCTGACACATTTCCAAGCGCTTAACAGTGTTTAGTGCAGTCTTTTCCTCACAAAGCGCCATATTCATCGGAGAGATGAATGTGTGTCTGCACTGCCCACGATGCATGTTTATGGTCGCTCACTGGCTGACGTGGTAAAACATTGGATATTTCAAAAATAATCCTGATTGGCGCTGTCTTTTCGAGGGTCTCGAGTGCAGTGTCTTTGGCTGCAAGGTGTTCCTATGCATTACAAGACATAATGACACCCTTTATCCAGGGTGTTTTAGTAAAGAGGGGTTCTCATATCGTTGCAATGAGCCAGGAGCCAAGTTGCCCTGTATCTGCAGGGAACAGGATCATGAATATTGTGTTAACCCAGAAAAGTTAAAATCCATGCATGCTTCCTTGTTCCCCTGATCCCTCAGCTTTTGTTGTTGCATTGGCCCATTGTACCCGAGAAGAGATCAAGGGGACCCCTGTCGGTTGTGGATTATTCCTTTGTAGAAGCGCCACTGTAGGGGATAGAGGATTAAAAGAGCAGACAGTGAATGGGGATTCAACAGGAAGTTTGTTTGCAGCACACACTGCACATTTATTGTTAAATTGGAGTGTTTTCTATTGAATAGCCTATTTGGTGTAATGTTTTCTTAAACCTATTCGAGGCATAGACCCACATTGACTCTGTACCCATTCTAGGCTCGGTTTTAGTCTGTGTATCACTGTAGAATCTGCCTCATTTGGATATTTATATCATATATGGACAATTAACGCTGGAATTGCCTGTAGCCAGATAATGAATTTCCATTGTGTTTACATGTTTTCCCAGCTGTTGGAGGGGTTTCGAGGCCACTGCAGCTGAATGAATATAAAAGAATCATTGTCGTCTTTCTCTCAATTTCCGTTAAGGGCATATTGAAACCTGGGAGCTGCTGTAGCAGTAATCTTGTCACAGTGGTTCTAACTTTGTGTGTGTGTGTGTCATAGCTACAATCTTTAGACAAAAGGGAATTCTGTGGGCTAGTCTACATTTTTCATAAGCTCTTGCTTCTTCTATTTTTGCAGGAAGCCATGGACCTCAAAGCTGGGCTGCCTCATACGCAGAATGTGCTGCGAGGAACCAATCACCTGTGGACATTGCAGATGAACAAGCTTCGGTTTCGGAGGAGTACCAGGAGCTGGTGCTTGACAAGTTCAACGCTGAGTCCTCCAACCAGACCACCATGAAAAACACTGGAAAGACAGGTCGGCACCACAGATTTAGTTACAGACTAGTTTTGTCCCTAAATCACATTTCACATTAACATAATAATACCAAAATTCAGATTTCTTTGTACGGTTATGATTTTTTTGTTGGTGAAACTTCAAATACCAGCGTAGAGTTGGGCAATATAGCACAAATCTTTTGAGCAAATGTACCCACTCAAATCCGAAATGAAGGCACATAAGATAAACAATCTGAGAGCCCAATATGATCAGAATGCTAACACAATAATTCACTGTCTAACAATGAATGACGTTAACAGAGAGGAATAGAGCTGAAACAAGTGGTTTCAATAACCACAGATAAAGTCCCTGCATACAAATTTCTCCTTTTACAAGATGAGAAAAATATAATATGGTTTTCTTGGTTGACATCGCTTCACCCTGAATGAACTGAATTTAAAGCTGCAGGGCGAGTCGGTTCAATTAATCTTTCTGAAATTAAGTACTTTATTTTAAGAGGACATTTTTCTAAATCGTTATGTAAAGTATGTAATCTTAATCTTAAATGCATCCCGTATTTTACTTGAAACGAGAGAAGAACATTGACTTATTATTAGTTAATGTATTGTTTATAATTCATCCAGTTCAATTTGAAATCTGACAATAAATATTGTTGAGATATTATTCAATTGAGCTTTCTTTATTTGAGTTGATAATCGGTTGTTGACGGCATGCAGAGGTTGATACAACTGTTGGCTAATTCAGTATGTGGGACTAAATCATAGCGCGAGTTGGACATTACTGTGATGTTCCGGACCTTTGCGTGAGGAAATCTCTCTAACTGGACCTCGTTGAAATTCAATTGAGTACCCCTGTGTTAGAGCATTGCAAGCAGTGTTACTAGATCATTTAGCAGGAAAGCCTTATGCCAATATCGGATTTAAAGGATTTTTGCATCACTTTTATGAACCTTAATTTTGACTGGATTAACCAAAAGCAGACATTATAAGTGGTCATTTATTTTTCCATAAACAGCTGAATGTTCAGTTAGTTAGTTTACCATTGTACAATATATACTGACAATATAAGAAACATATATACACAGTGATAAAAAACGGTATCCATATCACCACTTTGCATTTGAAGTATCTGAAATGATTCTAGTCAATCTATCCGTGTTTTATTATTGCCTGTGTTGTTCTGCCTGCTGCTCTCCTTTCCTCCTCCCATCCTCTCGGTATCAGCAGGCATGCCTTGTTCACAGAAGCATTTTGAAGCTAACGTGATAAACTGCTACTTCAAACCATTGCCACTATTTTATTTTTCAATCAGCTAATCCGCGGACCATTGGTGTGGAAATCGTCAACTTAATTGATCTCCTCTGCTTCTGGCACTGTTTCTCTCCGAGTGTAGTTTCATCTTTTGCGTTTGATCATAATGAGAGTTGTTAGCCTCCATGACAACTAAGACCGCTGGGACAGCCGAGCGATGCTGCGGGCTGCTTATTTACAAAGATGGAAATAACACGGCTGGCTGTAAATTTTGGGCACAAACAGTACAGAGGGAATTTTAGATGGCTAAGCACTGTGCAAATCAGGAAAATGGAACAATGTTACCACAAAACATTATTCTGCGTTCACTGTTTAGAAGACGCCAACTTAATATTTAGCTAATTCACCTCACAGTATTGTGAAATTGATGTTTCCCTCAATGAGATAACTTTCATTTTGTTTATTAAACTATATAGTTTGCCATACTGCCCTTTTGGAAATGACATGACATTGCTTAATTGCTCATTGACTTCTTTTTTTTAAATTATTACTATTACATTGTCAACGTGAATGCACTTCAGAATATAATGTTTAAAATACTTAACATTTCTAAATATCATTTAAAGATTCTAAATATTTGGACAGTTCAATGATGGATGGATGGATAGATGGATAAATCATATCACAGCTTGTTGGCTCTGTTCAATAATTGGTTAGCTGACGCTCATCTCTACCAAAGCCTAAAAGCCGCAGTTCAGAAAGCGGTGGTTAACTCTCATTAGCATTTATTTTCAGGGCTGCATTTGATCGTCTTCATCCCTTGAAATGTGGATGAATGTGTTCATGAACTAGCCAACATGTTTTGGAGTTAAGTTATTGATCCGAATAGATATTTGCCCTTCGTGTCGTTTGAAGACAGTTTCGATGTTTTGAATATGATGCGTCCTCCTCAAATGAATCTCTGGCCTTCGGAGTGGTCTTGCATCCTTGGTACACCGCGTATGCCCCGGTCTACAATCTTTGTTCATGCACTGTCCTTGACAATCTTTTGTTGTTGAATTGCACTGAAGTTGTTAAAGATGACGTCAAACATGGCCGAGTGTATCCAAGCCCATTGTTGTCCTCGTGTAACTGTCACAGCGCTGTGGTCCTCGGGAGTCAAGCAGAGGCCCTTTAGTGACACTCTAACTTCTACTTTGATCATGGCTTTTAGCATTTTGTATCATGACAATTCAGCCATGCAGTGTGTCCTCTCATCTTAGCTGCAGTGTTGCACACATCATATACCTCTTTGTCCATTCATGTACAGAACATTGTCATGAGACTAGGACTGCTTTTTCCTGGCTTCCTCTGCCATTTGTTTACATGGACTGCTACAACAGAGCGATGAAGGGGGACGCTTCTACTCCCAAATGTTAAGTCTCATTCAGTCAGATGTGCATAGGAGTATGACCATTTTACATGTATATGTGAGCAGTAAACATTGCCCGTACCAGTGCGATCCAGCTGGCTTTATCAACATTTTATGACACTTTGGATTTAAAACTGTCATAACTGACTTTTTATTTGAGTTTTTTTGTTTTCCTCATGCTTTTTTTTGTTGTCGTTTTAAAAGTGCAAGGTTTGCCAAGCGTGTAGCGGAACTACGATGGCCGATACACACACTTGAAAAGGATGGCCCTATCCAGAGGCAGTGATTGGTTTGTCCGCTCTAGAGACATGATGGCCGGCTCTTTGAAGAGGACTCGCTCCCTATATGAACATACTCCAGAATATTATATTCCATTTCCATCAATAGTTCCCCTGAAGGCGGCACGTTGTTCCTTTAATGGTAGTGTTTACTCTCTATTTACCATCCATAGTCAGGCTGTCCAGCTATTTGTATAGATTTCTGTCACATATGGTAACACAGATTAATTGCCTTTACTGCATATGGACCAATTATGCGTCCTATCTTGCTTCATGCTTATAAGGCCAATTGTGAATCAGGAAAAACCCCGACCCTGTTTATTTTTTTTATTTTTTGAATGCAGCCACTAGGGGCTGCTGAAGTCCAAATGTTCAAATCCTGCACAGAGGGGCTTTATCATCCTTCATTCTATTTAAAAGTCAATGTTGTAATTAAGAACTGAGTGAATAGATCTTAGAAGTTCATCGAGATTGATTTCACAAGGTTCCCTTGTGCCGTGACCTGCTTTGAGATTGAGCTGACTTTCCGCCATTCAAGCAGTGTTCCTCAACAAAACATTTCTCAGTGAAATTTCAAACAACTCTCCACCAAATTCATGAAATGGGAAGGCCCAAGAGACATTTGCATTGATCAAGGATTTACTTTCACACGCACTCCCCGTCTCTCACTGGATGTGATTCAAGGTCTTTTTGGCTTAGCTTCTAATTCCTGCTCTGCTGTTGGAGGGTTCAAACACACCCAAGGCAGCATTTCTAATGAAACTCTCATGACCAGCCAGTATCCCCTTTCCTTGACTTTCCTTGTGCTGCAGACAGGATTACACAAACTCAACAACAGAAAAACAGGGATTTATTGCCATCCTTGTGAATATGTATGTGTTTTGCAAATGAGTTGCTCAATCATGATCATGTCATGGGTAGTTATTTCGCATACAGACTGATTTTCCCTCTGACCTGATGCTTTTAGTCTGAGAAATCTCCTCCATCTGAGACGTGTTCCTTCATACTGTGGGCCAGCTTAAGCATCACTGGCACATTAATACTGCTGGCAGATTCTTTCTTGCCTCACAAGAGGGGCTCAGCTCAGCTCATCCTCCATCACTCAAGGTTCTCCTCTCTTCAGATCTCCGCTTCTCTCTCGTCCTCTTCTCTGGATCTCACACTTGATTCTTCCTGCTGGTAATCACTGCATGGAGATCTGTTTCACTTATCTTGATGTCATCCATTCCCTCTGCACAGAGTCTGTTTGCTCGTACCAACGCTCATACTCGTGGTTTGCTTTGTGTGATGTGATTAAAAGTGGGTTGTCCTTTATTCACTTTGCTTGTAACGAGGGGGAATCAACCGACAGAGCAATGGTGCTCCTCTCGCTAATGATGTCTAATGTAGACGTGGTACAGGTCTATAAATACATTAACAAGTAACCTCAGCCAGGACAGCAGAAGGATGGTAATATGCCTCGTCATGGTTGTGTTTTGGATGTCATAGAAAACTGAAGAACTAATGGAGCTTAAACTCGCCCTTTCAGGACACCGCGGAGTGAATTCACAAACGTAGGCTTCCATGAGAAGCAGACAGGCTGAACTTTTAAGGGGAATCCAAATTGCTGTTGTCATGTAAAAATATCATAAGAGCAGTAATGTGTGTTTTAACCTCAGGAGGCGGATTACATGTCCCACTTTAAAAATTGTGAAAATGTTATGACCCTTAAAAACTCCTCTCAGAAGCCACTGCATGATTTTAAAAGTGCTCAAGCTAGTAACATTGATACATTTCTCATCCGAAATTAGACATTTTGGACTTAATGGACCTTTTTTGGCAGATAGGAACAACATGCAAAGCGGTGGTGTCATTCCCTCTGTGATTATGCTGTTTGATACGGTCTGCTCTCTTCAAGCAAACCCCAATATTTAGCAAAAGTTGTAATATTTGAGGATACTGAGGTTAGAGAATTATTTCTCAGGCAGTTTTGCTTCACTTCCTGAATCTCAGGCGTTTGATAGGTAAGGGAATATTGGATTATAAAAAGTCTAGTTTAAATACTAGCAACCTCACAGCCTACGTGAATAACCTAATAGTAATAGCAAGCTTAAAAGGAATTTATATATTTTTTGGTTTCACAGTTTAGATAAGATTTGAGACCAAACCATTATTGAACATTAAATTCCACAGAATTGCGCAACATAATACTTTCATCACAGCCTGTTTTGAGATCTCAAAGGCCTGAACTGTTATACTTACTGTATATTTACCCTTTCAAAAATGATTTAGCAAATCACTGATGAATGAAATGTCATAAAATATTGTTAAACTCTTGCAGTCATATTTTTAAAGCCATATTCTTCTGTGTACAGTAATGAAACTCAGTTACTGTAAACACTTTTACAATGCATTCATGGGACATTAATTACCATGACTGATAGTGGCACAGCATAAATACATGCTGCAATAAACACCTAATTACAAGATCTGGATTACAAGATCTTCTGGAACAGAATGTCAAACCTTCATGATGCAGAAACTGGCAGTAACCTTGAATTCCAGACATTTTTAAAATGATTGCTATTCTACAGCTGAAGCAACGTCATTACAGCCTGACACAAAGCTAGCCGGTGGAAGAAGATAACGAAGCAGGGGAATTCCATTAGAGATAGTCGCTTTGCCTATAGCTGTTCACCACAGTCAACCAATGGGACGTCAAGGCTACTGCAAGAGGCTGGCGTTGGCACATCAGTGGCGTCATTGTTAAGAGTGTCCAACAATGACTTTGTACCTATAGCAATGATGATTCCTCCACGTACAGAAACAAATCCTATCAGGCTGTGGGTTGCCAGGTAGCAAAGCTTCCCTCTTGCTGCTCTTCCATCCCACTGAGTCAAGATCCTTTGTGATTTTCTTAGCTCTTTGTCCTGATTAAACTATATATTCTGTGTCGTAATTTCAAAACAAAACCAAGTCTGTGTTCAAGGCAGCGTATTCAACATAACAATATCATCTAGAACATTGAAGTAGCAGAGGAAATGTGGAGTTAAACACATTAAACACTAAATCAAATCGGAGCGAGTCTACAATCTTCGCCAAGTTGTTGGTTCATACTGACGACGTCACAGGGAGAGACTATGACTGATAAACAAATGAATCGGTGTCTGAAGCAGGTAGAAATGGCATTGTGTCGTGTTATCATAGAAAACAGATTATGTTTGATATTTGGAGATAACAAAGTTCATCGTCTCTGGATCAAAAGCTTATAGAACAAATATGAACACCACAGAGTTGAAATGTGTTATTTTTGAGATCATGCGATAATTGAGTTGTCGTTACAGGAAAAAAAACAGATGAGAGTTTAGATAATAAGGATTAAGTTGTGATATTGAGATAACGGATAACAAAGAACATGAGCAGCCTCCACCGCTCTGAGCTTCCGTGGAATCACATCTTTGACTATCTGCCTTCTGCTGCCGTGAGTGTACTCAATTTTCCTTCTTTGTTTGATTCCATGTTTTTGTGTTTGTCTCCAGTTGCTGTTCTCCTGAAGGATGACTACTTTGTAAGAGGTGCTGGACTGCCCGGGCGTTTTAAGGCTGAGAAGATGGAGTTTCACTGGGGCCATAGTAATGGATCAGCAGGCTCAGAACACAGCATAAATGGCAGAAGGTTTCCTGTAGAGGTAAAGCGTCCTTTCACCACAATCCACTTTGATAAATGTGCAATTTGGGGCCACGAGGGTCCATATTGAATATTGGAGCCAAGTACAGATGTGAGGCAGCACATTGATGCTTCTAAAATTGAGTATACCTCGTCTCCAAGAAGCACCACTGGACTGAGAGCTGATCGTTGAAGAAAACCCAATTCAGTGTGATCAAAAGCTATTTTTAGGTAAACGCTGGCTTCCAAAGGATGGTGAAATGGACCATCAGGGGTTATCTCAGTTATCTCTCAAACATATGAACTTGAGTTGCATTATGGGAAGCGTAGAATCCAGCATTCCTGATACTTAACCCAGACTAGAGACTATGACTATCTCAGCCTCTGCTTTGATTCTGACCTTTTTTATTAATATTTTTTCGTGAGTTCCCTAACTCTATATGAAAAATCCATATAAAATGACTGGAGAACCCCTTTAAAACCTTAAGACTAAGAAATTAAAAGCAGTACAAGAAACGGACATTAAACAAAAAACAAACTAAATGGCTTCTATTCTTTAAAATACTTTCCGCTGTTACTGGTCAGTTGTTAATCAATACAACAATAACATCTTTCTACGTAACATCTTTTGAACCACTGTCACAATCGGATCATTTACAATAGAAAATATGAAAAATGTCATCAATGAAAGCAGAGTTAAAAGACGTCGAGGAAAAGTACAGTTTTCTAGAGTAGAGTCTAAATAAGATGAACAATGAAGCAGAAGTTTGTACTTTTCTCGCTCTAAAAGTGCTTTTTGCACACAAGGTCGCAACACATTTGTCAATGCCATTAGTGTCAAAAGACAAACGGCAGACAAAAGAGACAAAGGAAGAACAGACTGCAGAAGTAATAAAGGAAAGCGGAAACTAAATTATCATCCTCTCTTGTAGCACAGATATAAAGGGTATTAAGTCTGAAACCTTTTGGTATTATTTATTCTGGCTCCTGGATTAAAGCAGAAATCCTATTTCTGTGTGGTGCAGAGAATTGGTTATTAGTGCCTTTCAAATGTTTATGATTTACAATGCCATCATCTAAAATGGATTAGCAAATGTGTCTCACTCTTACATTTTGTGGGGTTATACAAAATGTTTTTTTTTATCCCCTCTATTGTCAAACACTAATAATTAGTGTAAATATAACAGTGTATGAAAACAGGAAATGGCTGTTAGTGTGTCCTATCTCCAAACACACAGCTAGAGTCCTCCTGTGTTTATTTCTTGGCCCTGTTCTTTGGAGCCCTCTATACAAGCACAGCTTTTGATGCTGAAAGGCTGAGTAATTAGATTTATTTTTGCCACATCACTTTGTGTTCAATGTACCGGTAGTGTTAAAGGGCACCGGATTATATACAGCCATTATAAAGCTGTTGTGCGTACGGCTCCTTTGATGGCGTGCTTCTAAATAAGACAATGAGATTCTCTTTAATGACCAATTTAGGCAGCCGTTAGAAAAACCAGCCTAGCAAGAAGAAGAGAATAATGCCCTTAGGATTCATCATTTATAAATGCAATATATATATATTTGTAGTTTTGCATGTTTTTGTGTGTAGTCCAAAGTTTTTGTATCAGCCTCTCTGTCAAAGAACATGGATTCCTCCAAGGTTAATGTGCTCGTAGTTTAAAAGGATGAAGCTCTCTTTAAATAGGAAACATAAGCCAACGAGGAAACATTGTGAAGTAGCTTAGCTACTAACGAAAGGAAGAAAATAGTAAAAATAAGGATATTAAAAAAAAAGAAATCGAAATATGTCCACGAATGTGTGTGTATATGAGGAAAATAAAAACATAAATAGGATTAGATATTGTTTTGATGTTTCTTGTTGTAACTGCACAGGAAACACCAATTCAACCAATCTCAGTCAGCTGTAAGACCTGAACGCTTGGTGCTACAATTGAGAGTGCATAAAAACTAGTTTACAACGAAGTAGAAATGTTGAAATATACGGCTAAAGGTAAGGGGTACAGGATACAGTGTAAATGCAAACCTTGACCAAACCTGTTGAAACAAAGAAAGGGATCAAGACAATGACAGGATTACAGTATAAAAACATATAATAATCCTATCCATGTTTATACACTAATAGGATTAAAGAACCATCGGTTTAAATCCATTTTAAAGAACACGATTTGGAACATAGAAAGGGCTACATCAGACAAAGAAGGTTGCTTTAGAGCGTTTTGCTCATGCATCCGTGTATTTCTTGCTAATATAAAGGCATTTTAATTACCAAAAGCTCTGCCATTTGGATACAAAGGTAGAATGATTATTTTTCAGAACTCAAAGGATGAGTGACCCTATTCTCGTACTATTTGATCTGTTAACACAGCCCTCACAGGACTTACTTGATATTCAGTATGATGGGGTTGAGGGTTCGTAAATGACACCATGGAGAGATGTTCAAAGGAATTTCAGCATTAGTAAAAATAGGCCCAAAAAAAAAGGCCGCCACTCATGGCAACCTAGCAGTCATATCCTCATGGGAAATGCATAGTCTCTGCTACAGGAAGCACAAAAAGGAATATTCCATCCACATATCCGCAAAGATGTTTCCTGTGAACGACACACTGTATATGTGCGGCATATATGCAGACGCAGCACCGGGTGGGAGGTCTGCTTTTTAAAATGATTCTCTTTATCAATAGGTTAGACTGCATGTCTCAAACGTGATGTATTATTTCACTCTCTGAATGAGAAGGTGGAGGGAAATCAAATGATGAATGGTTGGAAGGGAACGTGGTTATGCGGGATCTAGCCGTTGGCCATTAAACTTCATCCTGTGAGATGTAGCATTTTCATATTTATGCCTTGACAGAGTTTGATATATTTAATATTCTATAACATCCGACACCACATGCGCAGCAACATTTTATGTTCATAAATGTTTGTCTTTGACATACCCGGTGATCTTTCACAGCAGAGAGGTGGGCTTTTGTTTTGTTTGGTATATCTTTTGTTCTTCGAGAGTTGAGCAGAATGACCTTGGAGGTTGAGCTCCAGCGCTTGTCTGTCTCTGCTAAACAGAGACTGTTTTCCAAACTGCTGTCTAATTATCTCTCCACTTCAAATGAGTCACATTCAGCCCTGAGTTACTTATAAAACGCCACATAAAGCGTTTATTGTTATGGTCTGAGGAAAAAAAGACTCTAAATGTGTATTCCACCTGCTTGGAAGCTTGAAAACACATGTCGTTCACACATGGGTACAAAAAAATCAGAAAGCTGCATTATAGAGCTGCTCTGTCTTTGTAACATGGCCATGTAAAAAAAAAAAAAAACCACGGCTGCTCGGCCTTTGGCTCACGAGCTTGACATTAATCTAAGCACGGTCTCTTTCATGGGAGTGAAATGGGGAAATCGATAGATGGACCACCTGTTCGCTCTAACAGCACAATGAAAAATGAAACAGTGGATTTCTTTTTCTGCCTCAGGGTACCATAAGGATATATTTTCTAATAATATATTAGGGTGTCACCAAAGTTGGATTAATTATGCATGGATTACAAATCACACCTCGGAAGGGTACACACAGTACTGCGGATGTATGAAGTGTTGGGGGTGGGTGTACAGTACGGTACATTTCAGGAAGAGGAAAGCTCCAGTAGCACTGAAAGCAAGACTAATGACGGTGGGTATGGCGACCCTGAGAGCTTTATACACATACTAAAAGGAGAGAACACGGAAAACACCATACGTAAATGTGATGGAACTAAAAACTGATGAACACGCGACTGGTTTGTGGCGCATACGTTCCTGAAGCCCCATCAGTGGTGTTGGAAAACGAGTGAAGGATGAATTGGTTGGCTAGAAAGACTAACGCTAGAGGCAAGCAAATATCTGCAATCATATCTGAATGGTGCAATCAGAATGACTGTTTGTTTGTTTTTTTTTCATCTTCTTGTTTTGTCTATTTGCATGTGTTAAAGCTCTCAGGGTCACCGGAGCAATAACAGGACAAAAGAATGATGCATGTTTATAGATGTCTGACTCGCAACAGCCATCATAGCAACAAATCATCAACACAATGGATATGTTTAATATATGATCACATATATATATATATATATATGATCATAAATAAAGAAAGAAAGGTCAATTGAATTGTTATTGAAACCACAGATGAAGTCATTTATTTCAGCCCTGTTGCTTTCTGTTAACATCATTGTTGGACAGTGAATACATGTATTAGCATTCTGATCATAATGGGCTCTTGGGTTTGTCTTCTGTGCCTTCATTTTGGATTTGAGTGGGTACATTTGCTCAAAAGATTTGGGCTTTGCTTCGTAGTGGCACTTCACATTGCCGCTTTTCATAATCATCACGGCCTCTGAACGTATGAGGCATACTGGTTTTTTAACTGCCCGTGGGAAGACTAAAGATATGAGTCTGTCCATTCTTGGTTAAAGGCTCTGGTTAAGGTATTCCAGTACTTACTAGTCCAACTGTCCGGCCTCTCGTCCAGTCTCTCTCGTCTGTGTGTATCTCACTCGATACAGATACTTGATTGGCTGAGTGGCATCACATGATATGATTTACAACGCATGTAATTGGTCGGTGTGTTTCCTGGACCGCTGAAGGAGTGCCGTAAAATCTGGAAAAGCTGTGCCTGTTAAAATAGAAGCGCTCCGTCAAAATGTAATAATTTCGGTATATAGGTCCAGGGTCCAGATACAACGGCATCTGGGTCCGGATCCGGACCGTATTCCGCCTATTAGTGACCCCTGTTGCCGTGAATCTTTGTGCATTCTTAGCGCTTTGTGTTATTTTAAATGTACGTACATGGATTGTAATTACATTATATCTGTTTACTAACACATAATCCTATTCTCTTTTGCTCTATTTTTTCCATTTTCCATGAAGTTCTCTGTCAGTGATCTGAATGTGAAACACCAAGTTTCATGTATTAGTTATCAATATCTGGCTGTCTTGGGAAATCAGGCCAAACATGACTTTGATTTTCACCTGTTTGTGCTTAAATGGAACTTGGGAATGCGGAGCAGCGTTCAGAGCTTGTGTTTGCGCTCCCTTTGTGTGATGTCTGCTCCACAGACCAGACTGGAGGTAAATTATAAAGCTCAGATAATCTTTTGTTTGTCTTTCAGTTTCCTCTGGTTACAGCTGGCGAAAGACCGCCAGCTGTACCCACCATTTTCAGATTTTCTTTACATATTTCTTTCTTCAACAGCGTGGTACTTTTGTGCTGACAAAACAAACATGTATGAGTGTGTCTGAATGATTTAAGAGAGCTTAAAAATTGGTCAGACCACCTGTCTGTCCTGATAAAAATCAACAACTTCCGGCGATATCTCACGATGTGAATGAAGTTTACTCTAAGAAGGGCGTTTTGTGCCAGAGCTCGCAAACATACAGAGAAACAAAGTGTGCAATCAAGTGGTTCAGATTGCTTTCACGAACATTTCTTTTTTTATTGGCTGCAATGAAAGTGTTTGGCAGTTGAATATCACGTTTTCCACTGTGCTCTTAATAAGAGCCGGTCACGCGAGCCAATGTCACTGAGTAAATGAAGCCTAAGGGGGACAGCTTAATTGGGTAATGTAGTTAATAACATCTGAAGGGTGATGAATAGCTGGAGCTCTTTCTTGTGGAGTTCTCGCACAACAAATTAGTTCCATTAAAGGCTGCAGTTAAAGGAACTCTGAAGGAAACGTATTAACTTCAATTATCGGGATTGAGACATTTTGTACCTGTTTTA